CGGCGAGTAGATCAGATATTAAAGTTGGTTTACCGGGAGAGGAAATATGAACATTTTCTGCATAAAATGCACGGGAAATGGGGGTTATATTAACTCCTAAAGAAAAATGGTCAAATCATGAGTTTAGCCACTGAATTTCCTACACTTCTTAAAACGGTCTGCCAACTTTGAAATTTTACAATTTAATCCATTGTTTCTTTCAAAATACCAATTAAATCCACCACTTTATAATTTCTTAAATTTAGCCCCTAAATTGGGGTGTTACACATATAAATGTTGCTCATTCAATTGTTAAATGAGTACAACATGCTTTCTCGGCCAATTCTCTTTATGCTTCCCATGTGTATCAATTCTGTAGTGCGCATCTATATCAAATATTTACGTATGAATTGGTTGATGGGGCACAAATTGTCACAACACTCTATCTGCGGCGTACATTTTAACAATCGCAAAGTGAAGCAAAGATGTATGACACACCATAACTCCGACCCTTCAAAAAAGCTTGGTGGTTGTAAATGGTAGATCTCATCGTCACAATATGAAATCCAAAAAAAGTAAAAAATTAATTATAAAATTTAGTATAAATATAAAAAATTACTAAATTAAAGAAATTAATAGATAAATAAATTTAGTAAATTAATAAAATAATATTTACCACATATCGACTATTTACCACATGTCGACCAGTGATATCAATCCTCATTTGTATATCATTTTTATTTCCACTTGTCAACTTAGTCTCAGTAATTTTATGTCGTCATCTAAATAATATAATAAATAAAAATTAAAAAATTGATAAATAAAAATTAAAAAAAAAAATTAGTAACAAAAATAAAGTTAAAATTTTACCTTCCAACCAGAGGAAATTCAACAGGGGTTGCAATAATTAGTATAAAAAATGAGAACCAATATCAAGCCCAACACTAGACAATCCGCAACATCGACTTTTTGACCCCTTTCGATGATTGCAACCTTGCAACGTTCTCGATATAAAATTGTCAAAATGGTCGAGCCCCAACTAGTGCTTGGACACTCAGTAAAATTATTCAATATCGAAAGATATTGAATGTGCACCAAATTACTTGATTTATCCGGTAACAATGTCCCTCCAATCAATTGGAGAATATATGCTCATACTGAATATGATCTCATCTTAGGTAGAGTTGTTAGTCATATTAAATTCAGACTCCAACCAAATTATCTGTATCCGATAACCGTCTTAGACCTCTGGTGGTGACATCTTTCCCAAAACTACCTAAACAATAGCGAACCGGTTTAAATCGTTGCGCCTCACTAGTGTCAAACCATTAACCGAACATTGAGTTCGTAAGCGACATCTTTGAACGTAGTCGTCACTTCACCACTAGAAAAATGGAAATTATTTGTTTCGGTCCTCCAACATTCAATCATCGCCGAAATCAATGAATGGTTCACCTTAAAACCATGTAAAAATGTGGTTGGATACAACCTAGATTGTTGTTGATATATATTAACCCACTAATGTGGATCTCTAAGTGTCATTCCTCATTGTCGAATGTCAAGTTCTTCTTCCGGAGTGAGTTCGAGTGAATAAATATGAACAACACCAAGATGTAACAATTCATCTTAGGTAGCATTTTCTATAATTCTTTAGAAAATATAAAATTTTCTAAATTTTTTCTTTATAATTCACAATAAAAATCTTAAACATTAAACCCCTATTTACAATTTCTATAAACATTAAATTCTTAGACATTTTCTATAAACAATTAGTTTTTCAAAAATCTAATGGAACTTGTCACCTCAACGTGACGAGTTCCAATTTGCTCGTTGAAATATGATCGTCTGCATGTTGCCTAACAATTATAAACGGCTAGCTTTAGAAATTCCAGGGTAACTCATCACCTTGACGTGACGATTCTCAAGTTTTTTTTTTAAATTTTCAACTTTAAATTATTTATTGAATTAAAAAAATTATTTTACATGGGATTCGTCACGTCAACGTGATGAGTCTCTAGAAATATATTATAATATTGACCAACACGGGACCCACTAAATTGGGACCATTGAGAAATATTTTTAAAAAAGTATATCATGTTGATGTGACAAATTTATCATATACTATAGCATTTACCGTAGATTGAAAAATAAATTCCAAGATGGCCTGATAGGCCTATTAATTATTTTGCCTGGGATATTGGGCCAAAAAACAGCATGTATCCAATGCAAGATAGCCTAACATTTGGGCTATGCTGTTGGGTTTATATAATAATCCTCTAAAGCCTAAGAATACCACTTGTACCCAACTGTACTTGGGCCTTTACCTTTAAAATGAACATGGAGTTGGTTATACGTAAAATGAAAATGAGTAAAATAGTTATTTTTATAAAATTTGTAAAAATATTTATTTTATTATATGAATTTGATTAATGAGGTTATATTAATTTATGTTAATCTTAGCGAATGAAAGAATTCAAAAGAAGTATTTGCATTTTATTCATTGTAACTTAGATACAAAGACTATTGACTTATATAAGCCACCAACATCACTGCATTCACGTGAACGCCAAATCTAATCAACTCAATATGATTGCATCAACAAAATAACTCAATAGAATGATTACTTTAGCATAACAACTCCCTTACCACCTATACTCTAACATTCTTTCATCTCTTCCCATCTTCATCTCCTGCACGTGTATCAAGCCTTTGACAACACGTGGAGAAAAACGTTCTAGTTAAAGGCTTTGCGAGACAGTCAGCCACTTGATTCTCTGGAACATAGTATACACAAAGTGATCCATCAGCCACCTTTTCACTCACAAAATGAACATCCAATTCCACATGCTTAGATTGGTCATGAAGAACAGGGTCATGAAAAACATGTGATCTTTTGTCGATATGACTTTCACTAACCCAATGATAAAAATCATCTTATTTTTTATATTTTAAGAAATGCCATCCAAATAATTATGGTTCTTTATATACACGGTAGTATTCTTTTGAACTTCACTTTCATTCTCAATACATTTCAAATTTTCAGAAAATTTTGAATACTAACATAATCTGAATTCTCACAGCATCTTTACATTTTGTTTTGTTTTGTTTTGTGATAGGTCTAAAAATCTTATCTATTATCACTTACCAGTACTAAAAAGGTCATTCGTGCGAGTTTTTAACACTCCAGGTTAATGCGAGTTTTGCTTCCTACAATGTTTAGTGGTGTGATGTACTAGCCGTTTTGCGACTTCATCACTTTTAGGTTCATCCATGATAATCTTAAAAAGAGCAAGCTCTTTGACTCTGGAATTTTCATCTCTTTTTAAACTAATTATGTTTGGGTTTTTCACAAACCATGATTTAAAAAGATACAGAGTTAAAAAAAGTCTAAAAGAAAACCAAATGTACGAGAATCCATTGAAATATCAAGTTACATTATTTTTGTGGGATATTTTTCTTTCTTATTTGGTTTTTTGTAAGAACCGTTTCGATGATTAATTTAGGAGAGTTAAACGACGGTCAACATGTTGTCTTACATGGCCAACATTTTGTTATTTCAGTAACGATCGTTAACAGTAAGTGATCATTTTGTTATAAATTGATATAAAAAATTCTTTTTATTTAAAATTTCTATTAGGATTAGTTTGTTAGATCAAAATTAAATATTTGTAACACATTGATCGATTTTTTTTTATTTTTTTAAGAAAAAAAATTAGATTTAAATTCATGAACTCGTAAAAATTATGTTGCTCGAATCTAAATTATTTAATCAGATCAGTTCAAGCAGAGTTTTGAAATCTTTTATTTTCAATGTATTTATCAGATGCAAAATAATATATATAACGTATAAAAGAAAAGGAAAATAAGAGATAAGACCACATGGATTAGATATCAATGAAATGAAATTTGTCTTTGAAAGAAAAGGACAGCTTGATTGCCGACACTAAACACTAATAGGAGAGGGAAAAGAGTATTGTTAATAAAACGATGCTTCATAAAGTGGATGACGATTTGATTAAGACAAGGTAGGCTCTTTTCTTATAATTTTTTAATGTTATAAAATAAATTAAAATATTTTATTTGTACAAATAAATCAATCTCGATAGTTAAAGGATTATTATTATTTTTTAAGATCTCAGGTTTAAGTATTCGATCTATTGGTCGACTAATCCAGATCATGTACTGCAAAGGAGAGGGCAACCCTCCTAACCCAATTTGCTCCATTCGTAAACTCCATGATTCGAACTCTTGGCATTACTTAAGGGAATTGTACCTCATCCCACTAGACCCACTGATTGTTGGTTACTAGTCAAGAGTTTTTAAACATATACTACTTTATATTCATCCTATATTTATAAAAAAATGTATATTATTATTTTGTTTTTAATTGAAAAATGAAAAAAAAGGACAACTAAAATGTAAATCAAATGACATTTTTCTAAAAATAATTGAATAAATTATATTCATGAAATTCGAATTATATTAAACTCAAATTCTAAAGTCTATTACAAGGGTTTGTTAAAGCATCCCATGTGATTATCTAGAAAACAACAAATATGGACAACCTAATCAAATATTTTTTGAACATTTTTGTATTTGCAACATAAAAAGCCTCAATTGGTCGGTCGTTTACAATTCTCTTACTATATTCAGAAAAAGAACATGTAAAGGTACAACAAAATCATCTATTTTATTTTTAAATTAAACCAACTAAATGATTAGGAGAGTTAAAACCCTCAAAGCGAAGTTAAGGCCAATAAAATTACTTTACTATAAACCAACAACAATTATTACAAACTTAAAACCCGTGGCCTAAATGATAAAATTAAATCTTTCTTAGTAGAAGAGACTCGAATTTAAACAATTGTATTTATCGAATGTATATGTTTTAAATAAATTAAATTTTTTTAACAAATACTATCTATTATTTTCGTTTAGGATATTCAAAAAAAAATATTAAAGCATAAGATGGACCTCTCCAAGAATAGACCTTAACTCTATTATCTCTCTCTCAAAACTTCGTATTGAAATTAAAAATAAAAAAATAAAAGCTATTTTCTTCTCTTTGTTTCCACATTTCCAAAATGAAAGAATTTAAGCTTTGTATGATTACCTAGCTCTTTTTGATGTTGTCGCATCTTGTTTTCCTTTACAAGCAGCTCTGCGTATAAGAGCTCATTCCATGAATCCGACACACCAGGAAGGCACCAATGACTGCAGTCCTTGTATTTTAGGGGTGCTACTCTTTCATCCTCCCACACCTTTTGCTTCGGGTGTTTCCGGTAGATTGACGGGTGGCCATCCTTTCGGAAATCCTTCAACCGGGTGATATTTAGGAAGGTGACATGAGTTTTCATCCCCCTCAGCACTCCTTCTAACACCAACATTTTTGGCGGATATGGCGTTAGATATGTCTCGTTCTTGATAAGCTTGGTTTCACTGTCACACGCCCCTCCGGAATTCCACTGTCCGCCCCTGGACAAACCGATAACTCGTTTAAAAGTAGTATTGCTATAGACTCATAGTCAAACTAACATAAAACTCGCAATGAATAGCATTGGCCCAGCCCTTCTATTTCAAAACTGGACTGCACAAAGGAACAAATAACATTGCACATCCAAAACAATCTTGAATTTATATCGGTTTACCTGAAATGCGAAGCAGAATAGCCCCTGAAGAAGACCATAGTCTTCATAGGATTCACACTTGCATCAACCCATCTAGCCCATGTTGTCAAAGCTTTCCGAAAGGCTCGAGTACATTCAATTCATTGTAAACATGACTACCTTCTTGATAATAATCTTTCCTAGAAAAATTTCAGATTTCAATACAAAAGAAGAACAATTAAATTACGAATAACAGTGTAACACCCAAATTTAGGAGCTAAATTTAAGAAATTATAAAGTGGTGGATTTAATTGGTATTTTGAAAGAAACAATGGATTAAATTGAAAAATTTCAAAGTTGGCAGACCGTTTTAAGAAGTGCAGGAAATTCAGTAGTTAAACTCATGATTTTACCATTTTTCTTTAGGAGTTAATATAAACCCCATTTCCCTGTGTATTTATGCATAAATACACTCATAATTCCTCTCCCGGTCAACAACTTTCAACTCCTATTTACTCGCCGTCCGACCTCTGATCGACGAGCCGAAACCACCAACGTGTTCGTTGTCGAGCGAGGAACAAAACCCCTCAAACCTTTCGTCGTGAATCGTCGCCGTTCGTCGTTAATTTCAGTTGGAAGTATCGTCGGTAATAACTCGATTTCAATTGGTTTTTCGTCGATTCACGACGATCCGATGATCTGTTTACGACACCTCCCGCACCATCGTGTTCCTTGCATCGTTCTGAGTCTGCCGGTGTCATCCTTGGTCTCCGTCGACGGCGACGCGTGAGGAGGTGAAGCGGTCAAAGTTTTCGATTTGTTGAAATCGTTCAAAATTGTAAACCGAGCTTTGTAAGTATCTCGGAATCGCTCAAAATAATTTTTAAGAATTTTTCCGTGATTTTTAGGCAGCCGTAAGGGGCCCCACGCGCCCCCAGTCGCCGCCACTACGCGTGGGGATTGTCCAAATGACCGGTTTGACCGGTTTTGGAGCAGATTTGACTGGTTATAACCCAACCCGACCCGACCCGTTGACTGTTGACCGGCGTTGACCACTGTTGACCAAAACTTTGACGGGCTTTGATCGGGCATTAAACGACCTTTGACTTTGACTTAGTATACCTATCCTGACATTTTTCGACGTTCCAAATCCGATTCCGCAGTCCGTTTTTCAAAATTCGAACCTAAAGACCTCAAAATTGGCAGTCAAACCCGTTGACTTTGATTTTTACTGAAAATTTCAAATTTTCGAAAAGTTATATTTTATGCTTTCGACGTCCTGAATCCGAATCCAAAGTCCGTTTCGCCAAATTCAAACCCGGTAAGCTGTTTTTCACTGATTTATCACCCGATTCGATCCGTTTATCGTAATTAAGCTCCGTTTTTTATATAATTTATGTTGATATGTATAAGAGGAATTATTGGAAGTTGAATTAAAGATCGAGGGCATTCAAATGGAATTTTTATGGTCGATCAGTATGTCACGAAAATCGAGGTAATACTTTACTACCTCTTTATGCTTCATGGAACATGTGAATATTGGTAAATGCATGAATAAGATAATATTGGTCTCATATGTGTAGTTAATTAATTTCTACACTCGATCCGAATACGATAAAAATTCGGTAACTGATTATGGTTTAGATGACTTTTATAAGAAATTGATGGATTATCATAATACTAACACAATCTGAGTTCTCACAGCATCTTTACATTTTGTTTTGTTTTGTTTTGTGATAGGTCTAAAAATCTTATCTATTATCACTTACCAGTACTAAAAAAGTCATTCGTGCGAGTTTTTAACACTCCAGGTTAATGCGAGTTTTGCTTCCTACAATGTTTAGTGGTGTGATGTACTAGCCGTTTTGCGACTTCATCACTTTTAGGTTCATCCATGATAATCTTAAAAAGAGCAAGCTCTTTGACTCTGGAATTTTCATCTCTTTTTAAACTAATTATGTTTGGGTTTTTCACAAACCATGATTTAAAAAGATACAGAGTTAAAAAAAGTCTAAAAGAAAACCAAATGTACGAGAATCCATTGAAATATCAAGTTACATTATTTTTGTGGGATATTTTTCTTTCTTATTTGGTTTTTTGTAAGAACCGTTTCGATGATTAATTTAGGAGAGTTAAACGACGGTCAACATGTTGTCTTACATGGCCAACATTTTGTTATTTTAGTAACGATCGTTAACAGTGATCATTTTATTATAAATTGATATAAAAAATTCTTTTTATTTCAAATTTCTATTAGGATTAGTTTGTTAGATCAAAATTAAATATTTGTAACACATTGATCGATTTTTTTTATTTTTTTAAGAAAAAAAATTAGATTTAAATTCATGAACTCGTAAAAATTATGTTGCTCGAATCTAAATTATTTAATCAGATCAGTTCAAGCAGAGTTTTGAAATCTTTTATTTTCAATATATTTATCAGATGCAAAATAATATATATAACGTATAAAAGAAAAGGAAAATAAGAGATAAGACCACATGGATTAGATATCAATGAAACGAAATTTGTCTTTGAAAGAAAAGGACAGCTTGATTGCCGACACTAAACACTAATAGGAGAGGGAAAAGAGTATTGTTAATAAAACGATGCTTCATAAAGTGGATGACTATTTGATTAAGACAAGGTAGGCTCTTTTCTTATAATTTTTTAATCAAATAAATCAATCTCGATAGTTAAAGGATTATTATTATTTTTTAAGATCTCAGGTTTAAGTATTCGATCTATTGGTCGACTAATCCAGATCATGTATTGCAAAGGAGAGGGCAACCCTCCTAACCCAATTTGCTCCATTCGTAAACTTCAGAATTCGAACTCTTAGCATTACTTAAGGGAATTGTACCTCATCCCACTAGACCCACTGATTGTTGGTTACTAGTCAAGAGTTTTTAAACATATACTACATTATATTCATCCTATATTTATAAAAAAAAATGTATATTATTATTTTGTTTTTAATTGAAAAATGAAAAAAAGGACAACTAAAATGTAAATCAAATGACATTTTTCTAAAAATAATTGAATAAATTATATTCATGAAATTCGAATTATATTAAACTCAAATTCTAAAGTCTATTACAAGGAAGGGTTTGTTAAAGCATCCCATGTGATTATCTAGAAAACAACAAATATGGACAACCTAATCAAATATTTTTTGAACATTTTTGTATTTGCAACATAAAAAGCCTCAATTGGTCGGTCGTTTACAACCTGAATTTCTCTTACTATATTCAGAAAAAGAACATGTAAAGGTACAACAAAATCATCTATTTTATTTTTAAATTAAACCAACTAAATGATTAGGAGAGTTAAAACCCTCAAAGCGAAGTTAAGGCCAATAAAATTACTTTACTATAAACCAACAACAATTATTACAAACTTAAAACCCGTGGCCTAAATGATAAAATTAAATCTTTCTTAATAGAAGAGACTCGAATTTAAATAATTGTATTTATCGAATGTATATGTTTTAAATAAATTAAATTTTTTTAACAAATACTATCTATTATTTTCGTTTAGGATATTCAAAAAAAAATTATTAAAGCATAAGATGGACCTCTCCAAGAATAGACCTTAACTCTATTATCTCTCTCTCAAAACTTCGTATTGAAATTAAAAATAAAAAAATAAAAGCTATTTTCTTCTCTTTGTTTCCACATTTCCAAAATGAAAGAATTTAAGCTTTGTATGATTACCTAGCTCTTTTTGATGTTGTCGCATCTTGTTTTCCTTTACAAGCAGCTCTGCGTATAAGAGCTCATTCCATGAATCCGACACACCAGGAAGGCACCAATGGCTGCAGTCCTTGTATTTTAGGGGTGCTACTCTTTCATCCTCCCACACCTTTTGCTTCGGGTGTTTCCGGTAGATTGACGGGTGGCTATCCTTTCGGAAATCCGTCAACCGGGTGATATTTAGGAAGGTGACATGAGTTTTCATCCCCCTCAGCAGTCCTTCTAACACCAACATTTTTGGCGGATATGGCGTTAGATATGTCTCGTTCTTGATAAGCTTGGTTTCACTGTCACACGCCCCTCCGGAATTCCACTGTCCGCCCCTGGACAAACCGATAACTCGTTTAAAAGTAGTATTGCTATAGACTCATAGTCAAACTAACATAAAACTCGCAATGAATAGCATTGGCCCAGCCCTTCTATTTCAAAACTGGACTGCACAAAGGAACAAATAACATTGCACATCCAAAACAATCTTGAATTTATATCGGTTTACCTGAAATGCGAAGCAGAATAGCCCCTGAAGAAGACCATAGTCTTCATAGGATTCACACTTGCATCAACCCATCTAGCCCATGTTGTCAAAGCTTTCCGAAAGGCTCGAGTACATTCAATTCATTGTAAACATGACTACCTTCTTGATAATAATCTTTCCTAGAAAAATTTCAGATTTCAATACAAACGAAGAACCAATAAATTACGAATAACAGTGTAACACCCCAATTTAAGGGCTAAATTTAAGAAATTATAAAGTTGTGGATTTAATTGGTATTTTGAAAGAAACAGTGGATTAAATTAAAAAATTTCAAAGTTGGCAGACCGTTTTAAGAAGTGCAGGAAATTCAGTGGTTAAACTCATGATTTTACCATTTTTCTTTAGGAGTTAATATAAACCCCATTTCCCCGTGTATTTATGCAGAAATACACTCATAATTCCTCTCCTGGTCAACAACTTTCAACTCCGATCTACTCACCGTCCGACCTCTGATCGACGAGCCGAAACCACCATTGTGTTTGTTGTCGAGCGAGGAACAAAACCCCTCAAACCTTTCGTCGTGAATCCTCACCGTTCGTCGTTAATTTCAGTCGGAAATATCGTTGGTAATAACTCGATTTTAATTGGTTTTTCGTCGATTCACGACGATCTGTTTACGACACCTCTCGCACCATCGTGTTCCTTGCATCGTTCCGAGTCTGCCGGTGTCATCCTTGGTCTCCGTTGACGGCGACGCGTGAGGAGGTGAAGCGGTCAAAGTTTCCGATTTGTTGAAATCGTTCAAAATTGTGAACCGAGCTTTGTAAGTATCTCGGAATCGTTCAAAATAATTTTTAAGAATTTTTCCGTGATTTTTAGGCAGCCGGAAGGGGCCCCACGCGTCGCCACTGCGCGTGGGGATTGTTCAAAAGAC